TAATATTCTAAGATAATAATTAATAAATAATAAATAATAAAATAATAAACTAATAATTAATTTGTTCTATAACAGTACCATACTTATACGATGCCAAATAACCAAAATAATACCCTAGCATGTATGTGTTCAAATGAAAATTCTTGTATTCAACATGCATGGGGTATTATTTCAATTTTTTTAATGTTGGATAACCAGTTAGATCAAAAGATTAATGAACATAATTATGAAATCATATCTGATATAGCGTAATCGCTGATTGTATAATTTTTAAATGTGATGCAATAATATTTAAGGAAACCATTCTTTAGGGTGGTTACTTCAAAAGCAATTTTACTCTTGTGTATATCAATATCTACTTACTATAAGTATATCTAATCGTTGGATCAGGTAAATGAAAAAATTTTTGTGTTATTAAATCTGTTAAAAAAAATTGATAAGTCGGATTCACCAGAAAGTATAGTAATTATTTTCTCATAACAGTGATGAATTCTTTATCTACGCCAAACTATGATAATAGCTACAATAATAATTACGATAATAACTGTAGTAATGACTATGGTAATGACTATGGTAATGACTATGGTAATGACTATGGTAATGACTATGGTAATAACTATAGTAATAACTACAGTAATGACCACAGTAATGACTATAGTAATGAATGCAATAACAACTATGATAATAATGGTAATGACCTTGGTAATAAGCATGATAACGACCACGAAAATAATAATATTAGTACAACTAGCAAGCGAAGTAATGGAAGTGAGGTTTGGGACTTCTTTAAGAAGGTGGTATGGCAAAAAGAAAAGAAAACAGCCAAATATAGTGTATTAAAGTGCCCATATATGGAATTTTCTTTCGGACATGGGGGCTCAACTAGAACATTATGGAGGCACTTAGAAGGTACACACTGGGCCCAGTACATTGAAACAGAAGAATATCATAGGAAAAAAAAAAAGACGCAAAATGAATATAGTACGATTGAAAATCTGTTTAAGGTGAGATCTTACCTTTTTTTTCTACTTTATTTGGACCGATCTAAGTTGAATAAACTTATGTAGGATTCTAAGAACCTCTCTGCTATTGAATTCGCTAGTACTGATAATATAAAACTCTGGGATATATTTGCCACCTAGATCGTCAATAGACAGTGTCCGTTCACAATAATTAAAGATCCTAAATTAATTGAGATTGTAGAATACTTGAACCCCACAATGAAGTTAGTTAAAGGGGATGCAATAAAAAATGTAATCATGTCATTTTATCACTTAGGAAAACAAGAATTGAAGACAAGCTTCACAATTATGTTATATTTTATATATAGGTTAAATAATTTAGTTATTTGACATTAAATTTAAATTGTTGTTTCTAAGCTTAGCTGCAATATATATTTACTTTATTTAATAAATTTAATTATTTTATTTTTTATTTATTTATTTATTTATTATTATTATTATTTTATTATTATTTTAATGAATGCTTACCATTACACTTTTATAAACATATTTTTCCACTATTAGTTCAAGAATCTCTTTTACATCAGACCTCTGGACATAAGGTTCCTAGGTTCAGTTCAGTTCAAATTTAGATTCAATGAACCTGAACTGAACCTGAACCTGAACCACAAATTTTGC